GCTCATTCGTCCGTTTTAGAGTTACCAGGACGGCCAACTTCCCTTACCGTCTCCGACATTCGTGCCAGATCAGCTATGTTAAATTTTGTCCCCGGTTTTGATGGTCACACAGCCATTCGACAGTGGATTGTGGAGGCAAAGATAGCTGACTCTAGTGTGTTCCAAGTCATCTACAATGTTAGGTAATGCTCATTTAAAATTCTTTTTGGTTTGATTTTTTCGTTCATTGAAAAATGGTAGTACCTTACAGTGCTCCAAAAGCTCGATCTATACCTGTGGAAGGACTTCGTCCCTACACACGTTATCAACTTCGACTGATTGCTGAGAATGTGCGTGGAAGAGGAGCACCCAGTGAACCGAGTGTTGCTTTTGAGGTAGAGATCGTTTAGCAAATCATTTCTACAATTTCTCTGTATTTTTATTCTTTCAGACAAAGCAGACAAATCCAGAAACACCAGCTTCACGACTTTATGCTGAGCCTTTATCAGCAACTTCTCTATCACTTTCTTGGACTCCATTATTAGCGAATCAATGGAATGGGCAACCAAAAGGATATCTGATACTATATAGGGAAGTCGGAACGGATCATTGGGTGAGCAACCATCCTGGAAAAACTGGAGGATTTTTTGAAAATTTTTTTTTGTTTTTGCTGATGTCTGCTCTTCAGCACGAAGTGCGTATACCTTCACTACGAGCGAGCGACTTTACTTTGCGAGATCTTCAACCTTACACAAGCTATGAAGTCCAACTTTTTGCAGAAAATATGTTTGGAAGGAGCTCATCATCGGGAACGTCTGAAGCGAAGTACGATGAAGCTTTTTTGAAGCATGAAACAGTCGTCTGGATGAAAGAAATACTTCAGGACTTACGAAGGGGTGCCATCGGGACCACCAAGAAATGTCCGAGCTGATGTTGACAGCAAGCGTGGGGTCATGGTACAGTGGGAATCTGTCGAGGAAGAGCAAGCTAATGGAAATATTAGGGGTTATGAAGTGAGTTTCTATGGGGTTGTCCCATGAGTCTTTTCATATTTAACTCTTTATTGCCGTGAGCCATTTCTTCGTAAATTTTTATAATAAGGGGTACCTTTTGAGAGAGCAAAGCATTTCCTACAAGATGATGTTTAAACATCCACATAGAGTGTGGTTCATACAAAATTTGCGACATCTAAAGAGATCCAAATGCTCAAATTAAAAAATCAGATCTCCGTCCAAAAAATCCTATGAACTTCCAAATTGTTTAACACATAACTTCCACATCATTCCATCCATATAAGCACGCTGTATTTTTTTATTGCCAGAAATCGGCGAAATAAAAATTCGTATTTTTTCGTAAAAGTTAGGCTGGGCTGTTCCCTCATAGACAGATCCATAGTATGAAAGTTTATGAGCACTACTAGGATCTACAACCTTCTACGTGCTTCACTTCTCGAGAAGTTAGGAATTTAGCAAAAAAATCTGGAAAACGACTTTTTTGGGTTTTTGTGATTTTGGAATTTTGTTTTCGATTTCTAGCCATGGAAAAATTCAGCAAATGTAAA